ATAGAACACATAATGTCCGTTGATGTATGCTCTGATGTAGGCATAGTACTGTTTTCTATTCTTATTTGTTTCACCTCACCAAGTGTCTTATCCAAATCTGAAAATCTACAGTCTAAACTTTGTACTGTTTCACTCAGAGCACTCTGGGTTATATTGCTCCTTATTTACATTATTTATTATACTGCAATTGGGTTTTAGCCCAGTGGCAGTAGTACACAATACGACACAACAGACAAGTAACACACATTACACTAAGTGACAACACGTTCAAACAAAACACAACAATAAGGACATCCTACCACAGTGAATACAAACCAAATACGATTAACAACTACAACAATTACAGAGAAATACAAACAACTGCAACAAATACAACAACAATTACAGAGAGAGAGAGAGAGAGAAAAAAAAATACAACACCCAAAACACAAACAAAAGGAAACCAACAGTCATGGATGCGTAATGTCATTCACTTCACTTCACTTCACTTCACTGCAATTTATTTCTTTTTAATTATTTCCACCCCAACTTCACTTCGCCTCATTTATCACTTTTCTAACCCTTTGCCTAAAATTGCTTGGTTTACAGGACAGAGTACCTAAAGCATCTGCAGGTAGTTGGTTCCAGAGCTGTATGGTCCTATTTACAAAGGAGTATTTCCCGATATCTGTCCATTGCTTTCTACTCCTAATTTTCTTGCCATGATCACCCCTGCTAAGATAGCATGGTGTTTCTAATCTGTCACCTATAGCATGGTGTTTCTAATCTGTCACCTATAGCCTTCCAAGCCTGTTCTCCCGTGTATGCTTTGAAGAGAGCACATATGCGAGCTATCTTTCTGCGCTCTGTCAAGGTTTCCCAGTTCGATTCATTCCTATGGTGTGCAAATTTAGCCGCTTTCTTTTGCACCCGGTCTAACGCATTTATCTGTCCCTCCCTGTAAGGATCCCAGCACGCCGCCCCATATTCCAGAATCGGACGCACTAAAGATGTGTATGCTAGACTTTTAGTTTTGCTATTTCCCTTTTTTAGAATATGCATTGTAAAGTGAAGTGCCTTCCAGGCTCTTTTCACAGTGTAATTAACTTGATCAGACCAGCTTAGGTCGCTGCGTAAAATTATTCCCAGATATTTACAGCTGCTCGCTTCTGGGATTACTGTGCCCCCTAACGAATAATTTAGTGGCTCCGTTACTCGAGCCCTCGTGAAACAAACTGCCTTACTTTTAGTTGGATTAATTTTCATCTCATTTTCAACCGCCCATTTCCCAAGTCTGTTCAGATCTATCTGCAACTTTTCCTTATCATTATTATTTTTAATTTTCCTATATATTATACAGTCATCCGCGAATAGCCTAATAGTTGACTCAATATTTCTCCAAATATCATTGACGTAGGCGAGGAACAGTAGTGGGCCCAGCACACTTCCTTGCGGTACTCCTGATGTTGTTCTGACTTCCTCCGATAGTTGCCCTCCTACTCTGACTCTCTGCGTACGGCCCAAAAGGAATTCCCTTATCCATATAACTACCCTTGAGTCCACTCCTGAGGCCGCAATTTTCGTAAGCAGACGATCATGACAAACTAAATCGAAGGCCTTCGAAAAATCTATTACAATTGTGTCTATTCTACTTCCGTTATCCAGTGAGTCTGCAATGTCTTGGTAGACCGTGATTACTTGACTTTCACATGAATATCCCGGCCTGAAGCCATGCTGACCCTCAAATAACCAATCATTTTTATCCCATATTTTCCTCAGGTACGATGCTATAACGTGTTCCATTTGCTTGCATACTACTGAGGTTAAACTGATGGGTCTATAATTGGAGACCAACGATCGATCACCTCCCTTGTAAACAGGAACCACTATGGCCTGTTTCCAATCACTTGGAATGGCGGCATCATTAATTGTCACATCCAGTAATCGCGCCAGGTATGGAATCATGGCTTCCCCACCCAGTTTTAGAATTTCACCAGAAATGGTGTCTGGCCCTACTGATTTGTTCTTACCTATCGCTGCTAACCTTTTCCTAATAATTTTCGTACTAACTGCGAAGGGTTCCCCTGAGATATCGTGCTGTATGTGCGGGATGCTACGCTCACTGCTGAATACGGAATATATCACTTTCTAAATTCGGATTTAAATTATTATGACACTTCCCTTGAGGCTTATTTGCAGTTAATTCAGAGTCTCCATTAAACATCCCTCCCTGGAGATTCCTGCACATTGCTACCCCTATCTTGTTGGTCCTCTCCCCATTATAATATAATAGGCAAATCACAGTGGCGATAAATAAAGATATTGTGGAATGCCGATACCAAACATCGAGCAATGACATCTTTTCCTTGTCTGTTTACATGCATTCCATGAGCCGTGAACTGCTTCCTTTGTAGATCAACTTTCACTACTTGAACATAGTCACAACACTCGATCAGCTTACTCATCTTCCTCTTATAATGAACAACTTCCTTACTGACACATGATATGGCTAATAGATCAAATCTTTCACGGGCATTTAAAATCAGCACATTAGTATGCGTGCACTTCTGAACAAATTTCTTAATTGACCTCAGTCCACTTGCCGTATTAACCCTGGCAATATCCATAGCACCACCATACACTATATAGACAGTGTCACGTAACTTCGAACAAGGCCCCGCATTCATAGTCAAATCCCGCGCATAGCTTGTGGTGGGAGGAGTTTCTTAACGATCGTTCTTCCCTCAATCCCACCCCCTTGTCTGAAATTTTTCTTCTGCACATTCAAGGTTACTCTTGGCCTTGTTTGAAGTTATGTGACAGCTGCTATAACATCATTTTATCAAGTTTTTTACAGCCGAAGATGCAGTTGAAGTAAGATGTTTAAGTAAGCATTAGGTTTAACATAATCTGTACATTGATACAAAGAACCCAAATGAGAAGCCAGTCTTTCTGATATGCCCCTTGCGTGACTGTCTCCTATCAGAAGAATTGTATGCTTTTTTACACCAAGAGATTTCTTTTTCCCACTTGTTATTTTTGGAGTAGGTAACACAGACTTTGGAAAATGATTCAACAGTTCTTGAAGATTATTTAACACTGCATAGCGATTTGCTGTTTGAACACAGTAGTCAGTAATAGGTGGTAAATTAACTCTATTCTTAGTTGCCTGACTTACACTCACTTGCCTCCAGTCATCAGTATCACATTCACCACACTCCTTATGATGGATATAGTTACCATTGGATTCTTGTTCCGATGTTGAGCTAACTTCTTTTTGTAGTAACTATGATAAATTGAGCAGTTTTAAGATCATCTTGTACTCTTTGAAGTTCACTTTTTAGATTTATACAACGTAAACAAGAAGTTCCACTACTATGAAGTACATTATTACATAAAATGATAGAGCTTGAGCAAGACGCCTCAATACTATCCGCCATCCTGCTCAAGATTTTAGCAATAAAGAAAAACTAATATGCTACTGCATGCCCTTTGCCAATTGCATTTAATACACTAGTGTGTTGTGGTATGATTGTCTGTTTTTATGTGTAATTTTAGAGCGAGACTGTCAAAGCATGCCACAAATCATTTGGCTGGTCTGGCAGGAGGTACATACTTGTGTCAATTTCATTCATGTTACATTTGGACTTTTGGCATAATCAACAATCCTGTATGCACTTCAGTTACTCTTCAGTGTTGTCTCAATAAGTCTTTGAACAGCTATCATAAAGGGAGCTATTGTGTTACGTGTCCATCATTCACAATCCTGAGCCTTTGATACTGCATCTAACATTCATTTAATCATGTCAATTCAAGTGAAGATTAAGTGACAGGAGGTTGGAGAAAACTCCATAATGAGAAGCTTCATAACTTATTCTCTTCACCAAGTATAATTGTAACGATCAAGTCAAGGAGGATCAGGTGGGCAGGACATGTAGCACAAATGAGAGAGAAGAGGAATGCATACAGGATATTGGTGGGAAAGCCAGAAGGAAAGATCACTAGGAAGAAAAAGACACAGGTGGATGAATATTGGTAAAGTGGGTCTTACAGAGACAGGATGGGGTGGTATGGACTGGATTGATCTGGCTCAGAATTGCGACCATTTGTGTTCTTGTGAACATGGTAATCAACCGTCAGGTTCCATAAAATGCTGGGAAGTTCTTGAATAGTTGCACAACTGGCAGCTTTTCATGAAGGGCTCAGCTCCATGAAGTTAGTTTAGTTAGTTGAAATTCCACATGAGAGTTACACACTGAAACGAGTGTTCATGTACAGTACCCATGTGAAAATTAAGGAGAAAATTCTGCAGTACGTTTTTGGATGTTACAGTCTGAAATAGGAAAACAGCCTTAAAATAAATTAAGATGAACATTGTCACTGCTGTTAAGAAAAGAACCAAATTGAAATTCTAGTTGCTCACTGAAAAGAAATTGTCACCTCGAAAATCACATTTAAGATGCCTCGCACAGGTAACTAGGGTTTAAAGTTCAACCTTTCAGTTTCTATATTTGCTCTTTTTCCGAAAGGGAACTTATTTACATTTCGTTCCTCTGGGTTTTAACAGTTCACTGTCCCTATTGCTGGGCCAGGCAATAGTCCCACCCCTCTACAACATGCATCCGTTGGTCTGCCAGCGATGTATACAACCACTTTGTCCCTTCAGAACGTCAGTTACTCAGCCCACTCCTCCACTGTGCATATTCCCAAAGGCAACATCAACACCAACAACAGACCACCACAAGAACTTAAAATCAGAAATCTAAAAACCTAGGAGGAGAAAAGTTGTTTTAAACACGAACACATGGCAGACTCTAATATGTGGATAGTAGGATAGGTATTCTGATGCAAAGGGGACCAGTAATGAAGAGTAAAGAGATGAATACAGAGAACAGTACAGTTACCAGCATGAAGAGAGAGCCCCATCTGGGTGAACACCAAACCTACAATAAGGAGTTTTAGAAAGGGATTATTGGAATTTCAAAGGCTGCAAGAAGAGTTACCATTCATGACAGCAAATCTAAACAGAGTAGGCACACATTTTATTCAGGACAAGTACAGTGTTATGGAACTTCAGCAAGAAAATTAACTCTTAAATACCTCATACTGATAATACTGTCAAAAAATACATCTTTAACAACAGTGCTGTAAGAAGGTGAATTTAGAGTTCATTCTGGTCAGACTCAGATAAAGGAATTACATGATTCATAATAAATTCTTGTGGCGTGTAGTCATGGTATTTATCTTCGATAAAGGATGTGACAGTTAACCAAGGTTTGTATTTAGCATTACAAAAGTAGCACAAAAAAACATTACGTACCACAAGTATCTATGTCAAACCAAAGATAATTATAGAGAAATAAAGTTGATTCTTCAGTGTGTTGCTGTTGAACTTATGAAGCAAATTCATTGCGTGTTCCACGGTTTCTGACGTGAATCAAATTCTACTGTTTTCAACAATATAACCAATATTAAGACCACTAAATCTGAAAAGTATATAGATTCCAAATTTTCTTCAAATCACTCATCCTCTTGCATGTAGAGTCTTTGTTGTGTCAAAACACAAACATCCAGCATTGGTTCAGGTCGAAGCAATTCTAACACCTGAAACAAAAATATGCAAAGTATTCATAACATTGTGGACAGGAGCCATAATATTATGGGGAATGCCATTCTTCTGGCTGCTGGGACTGTCATGTCACACCTAGGATAGGGTCAGTGGATTCATATCAGAATGAAGCAATGCTAGGCAAAGGCACGGTAAACATGTTTCTGCAGCAACAAATCAACAGAGGAACTATTGTTGGAAACGGTGTTTTCTGTGTGATCCATGCCAAGGCTACACAGTACTGCATGATTCCCAGAGTCAAAAGACAGTAAAATATGACCATGAGTCCTGCAGGACTCAGAACCAAGAATGACTGTGCTAGCAAGGACCAGCAGCCATTTGCCTGACCTGAAGTTAGTAAGTGGTCACAATTGGTTAGCAGTTGCAGTTGGTGGTTGGCATGGGCATGGAAGCAGAATCTCTGTTGTTAGAAGTCTCTACCTAGCAACTACCAGTGAAGACAACAAACTGAGAAGACTCAGTGTGTGCTGTAGTTATTTGTAGAGCAGGTAAATTAGTGACATGGTCATAGTTAGTTGCAATTGTAAGTGTTCAACAAATCAAATACACAATTCAGACCTTGTGCCTGGACCTTCCAGGGAGTTTGATTTTTGATATTTTAAATTATTTTATTAAAGTTTAGGAAACATGAAATCATGTCTGAGTTAGAAAGATGAATTTATCTATGGAAATGGAGACTGCTCCTGTTTCCTGCTATTCATGATTATTCATTTCCGTTAGTTAGCCGCTCCCCAAGATGATGGAAGAATTATGAGGCAGTCAGGAAGGACCAAAAATGGGAAAGTTGCTAGGATGGAAGGGAACTTAACCAATGGGAAGTGACGATTCCCAACGCGTCCATGAGGACAGAAGCGTGCCCACGTTTCAAGACGGTATAAGAAACCTGGAACAAGGGGCAGAGGCAAGCACGCTATGGCTGGACGCTTGTAGCTTGACGCTGTCAATATAACATTACTCGAGCCTTCAGGGCACAACTACGCCGGGGTGCGAGGCGCACCGCTGAGACGAAGGACAAGAGAGACGGGTCCATAGTTGCAGCCCGATAGATGGCGTAAGTACTTGCCGATGGCTGGTCACACAAATTAAGGTTGTATTTCATTCAGGTTACGATTAAGTCACTTAAGTATCAGAATAGAAACCAGTTAGATTTAAAAGTTAACTTGTGTATGTAAGAGAGCCCAGTTGTATCACTACGCTCAGGCAGGACACGCCAGACGGAGCCTGAGGCCGAAGGCAGGACGGCCACGGTCCTTAGTCTGATCGAGTTAGCGAGTGGAACATCAGACATGGCATGAACATTTGTGCGTGATTATCACTAACAAGCTAGGAAGCTCGGGAAGGTATATCACTTGCTGTATTAGCAACCATGTTTGTTAGATTTAAGAAACTATGAATTTTTACCATTGCAGATTAGGAGAGTAGGTTAAGGTAGTGCACTGTATTTAAAGAGAGATAAGGAGTATGAAGATTATTCCGTACATGTTGTAACCACTTATATACACATATATATACTCGTATATGCAATGTGTTTGTGTAATTAAGAATGTTTTGGGTACTATTGCCACTGCACCCTCACCCTTCCTGACCTGGCGAGAGATATCTTCTGGTGACCACAGGGTAAGGTTAGGCAACCACCCCTGCGGCACAACAGACCCCATGTGTAGTCACTTGCACAGGTATCATATAAGGCTGTACAAGAATGACAAAAATAGTTGCAACTTTGTGAGACACACCAGTTTCACAAGTAAGCATACATGTGCTTATAGATATGAACTGGTTGAGGTCATCATGTCTACTGTTGCTCTCCTTCCATAGGTATCATCTATGTCCTTAGTATAGATGCATTTATTTACACAGTAAAAAATTTCAAACTGCTATCCAGTAGTTTCTTTTTTAGTTGCAGGCCTACTATTTCTTCAAGTATTTAATACAACATTCAGGCACATAATATGGTCCATACTCATAGCTGTAACTGTCAGCATTTAGATAACAGGAAGATTCATTGTTTTAATTTATGAAGAAACGTTTCATTACAACAGATATATATCAGAAACATACTAAACATGGTATTCACTTATGCTAACGTAGCAGCTCTAGGACGACCAAGTTACAATTTTGTTATAATGTAGTATTTCAGTATCCTGTTGCACTAACTTATCACATATACACACATATAGAGTGCTAGTACTTAAGAGGTGACAGCCCGCCGACGCAGGGTAGGAGAGGTATTGGTAGTGGCAGGGAGACCTCCAGCATGCCGACAAGTGTGGAGAATGCAGTACAGGCGTTCTCAAAAGGAAATAATTTCTTACCTCATTGTGATGCATAGTGATGGTGGTTTAGTCTCGTTGATGTTCACACATCCGATGTTAAGTTTAAGTGCTGAATGGTACACTATTATACACTTCACTGTTATAAACATGAAGAGTTTATTTACATATTACACGGGTCTATTCTAAAGGGGCAACACCGGCAATGTCCACATAGATATCATCTCCACATGCCTCTCCTTCCTCGTCACCACCAGATGAATCGGAGCTATCATCAGAACTGTCATCACTATCACCGCCAACATGGAAGACGAACTCCTGTCCTGTGTCCAAAAGGCCTTTCCATGCCATTAATTGTTGCTCGATGTTCCTTACATGTTGGCATCTACGTTGCCATTCTTCTGCAGTTATGGAAGCCAATTTTTGGTCTGTCAGTTTAATGACGTCATCCATCTTAAATTTGGTACTGTTTTGAGCAACCCAATTTTTTACAGTGGCCCATATTAACTCAATTGGGTTGAGTTCTGGGTGATATGGAGGGAGTCGTAAAATACTGTGATTGTGTTCTGCAAAGATTCCATGTATTTTTTTNAGGCATTAGGGATGAAACCTTGCTCTCCCCTTGCATGGATAAAATGAGCCGCTGGCCTTTGGACACAGGGAAAAATAATCCCTGGATGGATCCATCACTCCATGCATATGGGGCGGTGTGTGATGAATGAATATAGGTTTCATCCATGTAGATGACTGGGCGGCCCTCTTCCCTATATTCTTTAATTTGCTGCAAATACTGAAGACGTTTGGTTCTGATATTATATCGTTCCACAAGTATCTGCCGATTATTTTTTGTTTTCTTCCAGCGGAACCCCAGTTTCAAAATAATTTTCTTTAATGTGGAGATGCATCCCTGAAAATCTAACGTTTTCTTCAACTTTTCGTGAACTTTTTTCAGGGAAGGTCTGCGTTTTTCGACTATGTAAAAGTCATTAATTGTTCTTCGCACCACAGACTTGTTAAAGTCGTCCAAAGTGGCCAATGGAGATTTCCTAGGTATTTCTTTATGGGGTGTCGAAAAGGAAGTGGAAGCCCCAGATTCGATATTTTTTGTCTCTCTTATTATTCTTCTGACACTACTTTCTGATACACCCGTTGCCTTTGCTACTTCCACTCCTATGTTCTTCACTGTAATTTTTGGCCCAGCCTCTTTCATATACGTGGTGTGTTCAAAAAGTATCGAACCTTCTTTTTTCCCGCGTAAACCAATGAAGCGCAGGAGGCTCCCTTCGATGGGGATGTGGAGGGGACATTCATGGGCAGTCGTGAATTTTTTCCCGCCCGCAGAAAGCGTCAGTCGCTGGCAGTCGGCCTGTGAGTGAGAACGTGTAGTGAGCGCTCGTCGGATTCCAGTAAGGTGTAAAATGACGGAACAACACGAGCAGCGATATTGCATCAAATTTTGCCAAAAGCTTGGCGATACCCAAGTGGAAACCATTCGCAAGATTCAACAGGCTTTCAGGGATGATGCTATGAGCAACTCATGGACAAAGGAGTGGTACAACCGCTTCAAAGATGGCCGCACATCAGTGGACAGCGAACCGCGTTCAGGCAGACCCTCAACAAGCCGAAATGAGAATGTCATTGAGCAAGTGCGGACTTTGGTCATGGAGGACCGTCGTATCACAGTCCGAGAACTTGCGAACGAGATAGGGGTAAGAATTGGATCGGTACATTTAATTTTGACCGAGGATTTGGGCATGAGGAGAGTGTCTGCGAAATTCGTACCGAAACTGCTAACAATGGAGCAGAAGCACAGGACATGCTGGACAATGCAAACAGTAACCCCAACTTTCTGAACACCGTGATCACAGGCGATGAGTCGTGGGCTTATGGGTATGACCCGGAAACCAACATGTAGTCGTCACAGTGGAAACATCTGACATACCCGAGGACAAAAAAAGCATGGCAGGTCCGCAGCAATGTCAAGGTCATGTTGGTCGTTTTTTTCGACTCCCGTGGGGTTGTGCATCATGAGTACGCACCACAAGGCCAAACCATCACAAAGGAATACTACCAGGAGGTCCTTCATCGCCTTCGTGATGCTGCGCGGCACTAACGACTGGATATGTGAGCAGCAAAAACTTGGCAGCTCAATCATGATAACGCACCCGCCCATTCTGCGCATCTGATTCAGAATTTCTTCGCCAAACACAACATCCCTGTGGTTCGTCAGGCTCCCTACTCCCCTGACATGGCTCCATGTGACTTTTGGCTATTTCCCAAGCTGAAAATGCCGCTGAAAGGAACCCGATTTGAGTCAAGAGAAGACATCATGCGGAATGCGATGGCACGGCTGATCACCATTCAAAAAGACGTGTTCCAGAAGTGTTTCCAACAATAGCAGAAGCGCTGGGAGAAGTGTGTGCATTAGCAAGGAGACTACTTTGAAGGGGATTAGAGTTTTGTACCTCGAAATCAATAAATGTATTTCTGCCGACCAAAGGTTCGATGCTTTTTGAACACAATTACTACCAATTTCTCTTGATTGTGAATGCAACACTTTTCCACTCAATTTACTTTGTGTAGGTGGCATGTTAAAGGAGATAGAAAAAATGTACAAATATAAATAAACAAAAAAGAAAATCAAGAAATAAAAATAAACAATAAATAAAATATTAGTACAGTAATTAGAGAATAACTCAAATGCGACCCCAAGAGTCAAAACTTTTTAACTTGACTGTACAGGGAAGAATGCTCTTGGGGTGTCCGCTCGCACTGAATGCAGATGAACGACTAATCACAACACCCCTCAACTTTCACAAATGGACCTGCCCATCCACTGTGCAGCTTTTCCTGGACTGTCACCTCCAAATACTAGAACATTACTTCTGTCTCAAATGCAACTTTATTTTTCCTTTACTCCTCCTCTTTGCTATGTGTTTCGGCCACAACCATCCATCATCTGGCAACTGTTTTTCTTCCTAAAACCACTACACTGTATTTAAAATTAATTCTGATTACAGTGGCATCACAGTCTAAGACAGAACTGTCTTTGCCCGCTCGGAACACTGGTGGTCAATGAGTTCAAATCCCACTCAAGGCATGGGTGTCTGTGTGCGTTTATTCTGTGTTTGTGTTGTTCTGTGTATAGGCAGCAGCCTTGCAACGGGCTGACAGCCCCCCCCCAGGAGTCCTAGTGACTGTGTATAGGATTAAGAAACTGAAAAAGTACCCAAGGCCCAAAGGGCTATAGAGCTGTAAGGGAGGGGGGATTTAAAATTAATTAGTTCCAAATTAAAATTTTAATGTACACATTAATCTTAAATATAATTAAGATTTTAAAAAATAAGAAGACACCATTAATGAAAACAACAACAAACACGAAGTTACAAATGTGAGACCAAGAATCAGTAGGTATAAGTAACATATGACTGTGTCAAGCTTCTTAGCATAAGAGACTGTAAAGTTTCTGCTAAGTGATGATAAACACTTAATGGCAATATTTTAAATATTCTAGTATCTTACCTCATATTTCTGGGACTCTTCAAATGCATACAAGATGCTTGTATCACACAGCATCATCTTGCAGTTTGCAAGAGCAAGGATACAATTCCGTAGACGTGCGATTACTTCCCTGTCTGTACGTGGGACAACCTGTAGATCAATCGAACAAGCAGATGAATGCCAAGTCCAGAGGATATGCTGGCTTCCTGCCTTCCTCCCCAAACCCAGGAGCTTGGATATAATGACTGGCTATATGCTGGATGTTTTGGATTCAATTCCCAGCAGGGGCAAGAGATTTTCCTCTTCTCCACAGCATCGAGCACAGTATCGAGACTGGCTCTGGAGCCTACCCAGCCTCCTATCCAATGAACACCAGGGGCTCTTTCCCAAAGAGTAAAGTGGCCAGGCTGTGAAGCCATGATATATATAATAAATGTGGTAACTGCACCCTAATTTTAAAAATAAACATTTTTCAATAAACATGCATGTCATAAATAATATCACGTGTATGGGTGACTTGTAAGACAGGTTTGGATTGGTAATTGGATTTATTGATCACTCCTTGTACAATCACTCATAATTACAATAAATTACAGTAACTAACAATAAATCTTCAGCTGAACCCTTCTTCCTTGGCTGCCTAGGACTCACTCAATTCTGATCTGGACTGCCTCCATTCTGACTGGACAAAACATCTTTCATTTCCATATCCACAGAAATGTATGTTGATCACCCGTACCCCATATCCATGGAAATTTCACCCAATAATGGGTTGGTTTCCAAGTATCCATCTGCACACAACATGTTTGCCAACCTGTTCCCTAGCAATGAGTCTACACATCATAATAATAAATATATTAGACATGGTGTCCTGCAAGGTTAGATTCTGGGTCCATTGTTCTCATTTATATAAATGATTTACCAAAACCTATAAATGATAAAACTGTACCTATATTATCTGCCGATGACACTAGTTTGTTAGTTAAAAACTGAAACGATGATGATCTCTGTGTGAATATAAACAATGCTTTCCATAGTATAAATGAATGATTCGAAGTAAACCAACTTTCAATAAATTTTAACAAAACCCACTACCTTTAATTTACAGCTAGAAATAATAATCCTAAATCTGAAATAAAAATTGTATATGATAAAAAATAATTACATCTATATCCAATATTAAATTTCTTGGAATATTCAGTGATAACATAATGAGCTGGAAATACCACACTGAATATATTAGTTCTAAACTAAGTGCAGTCTGCTACATAATAAGATCGCTTAAACCATACACGTCCATAAATACCTTAAAAATGGTTTATCACTTATTTTAATTTATTTTAAATTATGGTTTACCCTTTTGGGGTAACTCACCCCAAAGTATAAAAATTTTTAGAATGCAAAGAATATAATTAGAATTATGTTGGGACGCAGAAGGAGGGATTCGTGCAGGAACTTATTTAGAGAATTAGAAATCTTACCTCTGGCACATACCGTAATGTGTTTGGAATCCAGAAGGGTCACTTCTATGGAAACGCTAGAACAGACCGTTGCATAGGAAGCAACAATAGCGATACTGTAATTCTAACAGTGAGCATTGCATAGAGATTTTCCACGGTTATAACAGAAGCTCACTGTATAGCAACCATTGAGGTATAAATAGCCCAGCTTCGACAAGAAGAAGTCAGTCTGGTATTAACCGCCGAAGAAGAGAGTCTTCAAGAAGCTGCCACTGAAGATACTTGGAGCTACAGAAGTATTGGCCGAGACATTGTGTAAGCAGTAATTGTAATGCTGCAAGTGCTAATGGTTGTAAAGCGTATAAGTGTGAGTGTCCAATAAAGATTCGCTGAATCCGAGACCCACGTGAATGTATTTGTTGAGTGAAATATCCAACATGTGACAACTGGTGTCAGAAGTGGGATTACGAACTCGAACACGTTTCAATGAATTATACTACCACACGATGGAGATGGAAAAATGATTCAAAATGCTGAATGAGATGAAGGCCAACAGAAAAACCGACAAAGAAGAGATGANGATATTTTAGCCAGGATATCATAAAATCTCTTCTTCAATTTGAGTTAGGGGCTCTGTTTAGTTGTACATTATGGTAGGGAGCATTATCAATGACAAGGACAGAATTTGGGGGAAGGTTAGGAATAAGTTGCTCCTTTAACCATTTTTCATAATTGGTGTAGTTCATGTCACTGTGGTAGTCTCCTGTTTTTTGGTGGGACAGGCATTAGGGATGAAACCTTGCTCTCCCCTTGCATGGATAAAATGAGCCGCTGGCCTTTGGACACAGGGAAAAATAATCCCTGGATGGATCCATCACTCCATGCATATGGGGCGGTGTGTGATGAATGAATATAGGTTTCATCCATGTAGATGACTGGGCGGCCCTCTTCCCTATATTCTTTAATTTGCTGCAAATACTGAAGACGTTTGGTTCTGATATTATATCGTTCCACAAGTATCTGCCGATTATTTTTTGTTTTCTTCCAGCGGAACCCCAGTTTCAAAATAATTTTCTTTAATGTGGAGATGCATCCCTGAAAATCTAACGTTTTCTTCAACTTTTCGTGAACTTTTTTCAGGGAAGGTCTGCGTTTTTCGACTATGTAAAAGTCATTAATTGTTCTTCGCACCACAGACTTGTTAAAGTCGTCCAAAGTGGCCAATGGAGATTTCCTAGGTATTTCTTTATGGGGTGTCGAAAAGGAAGTGGAAGCCCCAGATTCGATATTTTTTGTCTCTCTTATTATTCTTCTGACACTACTTTCTGATACACCCGTTGCCTTTGCTACTTCCACTCCTATGTTCTTCACTGTAATTTTTGGCCCAGCCTCTTTCATATACGTGGTGTGTTCAAAAAGTATCGAACCTTCTTTTTTCCCGCGTAAACCAATGAAGCGCAGGAGGCTCCCTTCGATGGGGATGTGGAGGGGACATTCATGGGCAGTCGTGAATTTTTTCCCGCCCGCAGAAAGCGTCAGTCGCTGGCAGTCGGCCTGTGAGTGAGAACGTGTAGTGAGCGCTCGTCGGATTCCAGTAAGGTGTAAAATGACGGAACAACACGAGCAGCGATATTGCATCAAATTTTGCCAAAAGCTTGGCGATACCCAAGTGGAAACCATTCGCAAGATTCAACAGGCTTTCAGGGATGATGCTATGAGCAACTCATGGACAAAGGAGTGGTACAACCGCTTCAAAGATGGCCGCACATCAGTGGACAGCGAACCGCGTTCAGGCAGACCCTCAACAAGCCGAAATGAGAATGTCATTGAGCAAGTGCGGACTTTGGTCATGGAGGACCGTCGTATCACAGTCCGAGAACTTGCGAACGAGATAGGGGTAAGAATTGGATCGGTACATTTAATTTTGACCGAGGATTTGGGCATGAGGAGAGTGTCTGCGAAATTCGTACCGAAACTGCTAACAATGGAGCAGAAGCACAGGACATGCTGGACAATGCAAACAGTAACCCCAACTTTCTGAACACCGTGATCACAGGCGATGAGTCGTGGGCTTATGGGTATGACCCGGAAACCAACATGTAGTCGTCACAGTGGAAACATCTGACATACCCGAGGACAAAAAAAGCATGGCAGGTCCGCAGCAATGTCAAGGTCATGTTGGTCGTTTTTTTCGACTCCCGTGGGGTTGTGCATCATGAGTACGCACCACAAGGCCAAACCATCACAAAGGAATACTACCAGGAGGTCCTTCATCGCCTTCGTGATGCTGCGCGGCACTAACGACTGGATATGTGAGCAGCAAAAACTTGGCAGCTCAATCATGATAACGCACCCGCCCATTCTGCGCATCTGATTCAGAATTTCTTCGCCAAACACAACATCCCTGTGGTTCGTCAGGCTCCCTACTCCCCTGACATGGCTCCATGTGACTTTTGGCTATTTCCCAAGCTGAAAATGCCGCTGAAAGGAACCCGATTTGAGTCAAGAGAAGACATCATGCGGAATGCGATGGCACGGCTGATCACCATTCAAAAAGACGTGTTCCAGAAGTGTTTCCAACAATAGCAGAAGCGCTGGGAGAAGTGTGTGCATTAGCAAGGAGACTACTTTGAAGGGGATTAGAGTTTTGTACCTCGAAATCAATAAATGTATTTCTGCCGACCAAAGGTTCGATGCTTTTTGAACACAATTACTACCAATTTCTCTTGATTGTGAATGCAACACTTTTCCACTCAATTTACTTTGTGTAGGTGGCATGTTAAAGGAGATAGAAAAAATGTACAAATATAAATAAACAAAAAAGAAAATCAAGAAATAAAAATAAACAATAAATAAAATATTAGTACAGTAATTAGAGAATAACTCAAATGCGACCCCAAGAGTCAAAACTTTTTAACTTGACTGTACAGGGAAGAATGCTCTTGGGGTGTCCGCTCGCACTGAATGCAGATGAACGACTAATCACAACACCCCTCAACTTTCACAAATGGACCTGCCCATCCACTGTGCAGCTTTTCCTGGACTGTCACCTCCAAATACTAGAACATTACTTCTGTCTCAAATGCAACTTTATTTTTCCTTTACTCCTCCTCTTTGCTATGTGTTTCGGCCACAACCATCCATCATCTGGCAACTGTTTTTCTTCCTAAAACCACTACACTGTATTTAAAATTAATTCTGATTACAGTGGCATCACAGTCTAAGACAGAACTGTCTTTGCCCGCTCGGAACACTGGTGGTCAATGAGTTCAAATCCCACTCAAGGCATGGGTGTCTGTGTGCGTTTATTCTGTGTTTGTGTTGTTCTGTGTATAGGCAGCAGCCTTGCAACGGGCTGACAGCCCCCCCCCAGGAGTCCTAGTGACTGTGTATAGGATTAAGAAACTGAAAAAGTACCCAAGGCCCAAAGGGCTATAGAGCTGTAAGGGAGGGGGGATTTAAAATTAATTAGTTCCAAATTAAAATTTTAATGTACACATTAATCTTAAATATAATTAAGATTTTAAAAAATAAGAAGACACCATTAATGAAAACAACAACAAACACGAAGTTACAAATGTGAGACCAAGAATCAGTAGGTATAAGTAACATATGACTGTGTCAAGCTTCTTAGCATAAGAGACTGTAAAGTTTCTGCTAAGTGATGATAAACACTTAATGGCAATATTTTAAATATTCTAGTATCTTACCTCATATTTCTGGGACTCTTCAAATGCATACAAGATGCTTGTATCACACAGCATCATCTTGCAGTTTGCAAGAGCAAGGATACAATTCCGTAGACGTGCGATTACTTCCCTGTCTGTACGTGGGACAACCTGTAGATCAATCGAACAAGCAGATGAATGCCAAGTCCAGAGGATATGCTGGCTTCCTGCCTTCCTCCCCAAACCCAGGAGCTTGGATATAATGACTGGCTATATGCTGGATGTTTTGGATTCAATTCCCAGCAGGGGCAAGAGATTTTCCTCTTCTCCACAGCATCGAGCACAGTATCGAGACTGGCTCTGGAGCCTACCCAGCCTCCTATCCAATGAACACCAGGGGCTCTTTCCCAAAGAGTAAAGTGGCCAGGCTGTGAAGCCATGATATATATAATAAATGTGGTAACTGCACCCTAATTTTAAAAATAAACATTTTTCAATAAACATGCATGTCATAAATAATATCACGTGTATGGGTGACTTGTAAGACAGGTTTGGATTGGTAATTGGATTTATTGATCACTCCTTGTACAATCACTCATAATTACAATAAATTACAGTAACTAACAATAAATCTTCAGCTGAACCCTTCTTCCTTGGCTGCCTAGGACTCACTCAATTCTGATCTGGACTGCCTCCATTCTGACTGGACAAAACATCTTTCATTTCCATATCCACAGAAATGTATGTTGATCACCCGTACCCCATATCCATGGAAATTTCACCCAATAATGGGTTGGTTTCCAAGTATCCATCTGCACACAACATGTTTGCCAACCTGTTCCCTAGCAATGAGTCTACACATCATAATAATAAATATATTAGACATGGTGTCCTGCAAGGTTAGATTCTGGGTCCATTGTTCTCATTTATATAAATGATTTACCAAAACCTATAAATGATAAAACTGTACCTATATTATCTGCCGATGACACTAGTTTGTTAGTTAAAAACTGAAACGATGATGATCTCTGTGTGAATATAAACAATGCTTTCCATAGTATAAATGAATGATTCGAAGTAAACCAACTTTCAATAAATTTTAACAAAACCCACTACCTTTAATTTACAGCTAGAAATAATAATCCTAAATCTGAAATAAAAATTGTATATGATAAAAAATAATTACATCTATATCCAATATTAAATTTCTTGGAATATTCATTGATGACATCATGAGCTGGAAATACCACACTGAATATATTAGTTCTAAACTAAGTGCAGTCTGCTACATAATAAGATCGCTTAAACCATACACGTCCATAAATACCTTAAAAATGGTTTATCACTTATTTTAATTTATTTTAAATTATGGTTTACCCTTTTGGGGTAACTCACCCCAAAGTATAAAAATTTTTAGAATGCAAAGAATATAATTAGAATTATGTTGGGACGCAGAAGGAGGGATTCGTGCAGGAACTTATTTAGAGAATTAGAAATCTTACCTCTGGCACATACCGTAATGTGTTTGGAATCCAGAAGGGTCACTTCTATGGAAACGCTAGAACAGACCGTTGCATAGGAAGCAACAATAGCGATACTGTAATTCTAACAGTGAGCATTGCATAGAGATTTTCCACGGTTATAACAGAAGCTCACTGTATAGCAACCATTGAGGTATAAATAGCCCAGCTTCGACAAGAAGAAGTCAGTCTGGTATTAACCGCCGAAGAAGTGAGTCTTCAAGAAGCTGCCACTGAAGATACTTGGAGCTACAGAAGTATTGGCCGAGACATTGTGTAAGCAGTAATTGTAATGCTGCAAGTGCTAATGGTTGTAAAGCGTATAAGTGTGAGTGTCCAATAAAGATTCGCTGAATCCGAGACCCACGTGAATGTATTTGTTGAGTGAAATATCCAACATGTGACAACTGGTGTCAGAAGTGGGATTACGAACTCGAACACGTTTCAATGAATTATACTACCACACGATGGAGATGGAAAAATGATTCAAAATGCTGAATGAGATGAAGGCCAACAGAAAAACCGACAAAGAAGAGATGAAGACCATGCAAGAAAAGGGGGAGGCAGATAGAAAAGCAGACCACAAAAATTTGCTGGCCAAGATGGACGCAGACAGAAAAACCGGGCACAAAGAACTACTGGCCAAACTAGAGGATGACAGACAGGCCAATAGGAAAGCATGGCGAGAAGAGATGGCCGCCATGACAGACGACTGGGGGAATGATAGCCACAAGAAGTTAGTGGCTGAAAATGACACAAAGATGACTGCCTGCCAACAGATGGAGGCACAGAAAGAAGATGTCCCCAAAGTAGACGCTGAAGTAATGCCGGTCGGGGAACCGAAGCAGAAAAGGCGCAGGGACCGAAAACTGGCCACGGAGCGCTGCCGCCAGAAAGCGAAGGATGCAACACGGGAAAATCGCGAACCCCAAGAGAGATTGGCTGTTGCCCGCACAACATGCCATGTGAAATTGGCATGGCGAGAGGAGGAAACTGACAAGAAGATGTTCCGTCACGCGATAGTGGCACGATACATGAGAGACATCCTCGGGCCGAACACGACGCACCGTGCAAAGGTGGCACGGCAGAAGGAAAGTGTCGAGAGAAACTGTACCATGGCCGTGATTGAGCGAGCAACCCAAAGAGCAGGGCTACTCAGGGAAAATTTAAGGGCGCACCAAGAAGGAAAAAGAGGAACAAAGGACCAAGGCGGCAAGCGGCCGCCGTATGTGAGAAAGAAGAGGGAAACCGTAATTGTAATGCTGCAAGTGCTAATGGTTGTAAAGCGTATAAGTGTGAGTGTCCAATAAAGATTCGCTGAATCCGAGACCCACGTGAATTTATTTGTTGCATACAATACCCAGCACATGACAATACTATCTCTTATGCTCTTTGTGATAAAAAACATAAACAAATTCATAGTAAATTGAGAGATTCATGGAATAAATACCAGACAGCAAAATAATCTCTATCAGCCGCTTGTAAATTTAAGGAAATACCAAAAGGGAGTTTACTGTTTAGGAACAAAGGTCTATAATAATCTACCTCAACATATTAAGGATATACTGAGTGACACTAAGAGTTTTGAGGTACAATTAAAACAATTTTTATATTTACATTCTTTTTATTCTTTACAGGAATATTTTGGTTATAAATCTAGTGAAATGCTACATTTGGAGCATGGCTTTGTATGAGGCTGAAACTTGGACACTTAGGGCAGTAGATGAGAAACACCTGGAAAGCTTCAAAATGTGGTGTTGGAGAAGGATGGAGAAGATCAGTTGGACCGATTATGTGAGAAATGAAGTGTTATTTAGAGTCAGTGAGCAGAGGAATATCCTACACGAAATAAGAAAATGGAAGGCTAATTGGATTGGTCATATCTTACGCAGTAACTGCCTTCTAAAAGAAGTTATTGAAGGAAAGATAGAGGGGTGGATAGAAGTGACCAGAAGACGCAAGAAGATGCTGGATGACCATGGGGACAGAAGAGATATTCTCATTTGAAGGAGAAAGCTCTAGATTGCATTAAGTGGAGGAACTGTTTTGGAAGAGACTGTGGAACTGTTGTCTGACAGATTACTGATCAATGAATGAAATCTTTTTAACACATTGAGGACCGGTCACATGATATCATGCTTTTGGCTTTTAAACGTGGTGGACCGGACGCATGACATCATGATTTTAGGACACGTTACATTGTAACACACTATACCATTCTCTGGTGCCACCCAAATGAATGACTACTGCGTAATATTACTCCGGAATGTTTGCTTAGTAGGCAGTAACTTGACCTCACTGTTTTGGTTCCCCTTCCAAAGGAAAATCATCTTTGACCCTTCAAATTCTTATGTACCAGGCAGGAAGTTTGTGCAATATGAATCAAGGACAGAAGTGCTCAGAGAGTGGCAGTGACAGGAGACAACAAACAATTGTGGCCACAGAGAATAAAAGTGAACGTAGCTCCGACGAAAGTGCAGGTAGTAAAATTGCGGGGACAGCCACATGGGGAAAAGTAGACAAAACACCTACTCTGGGACAGTTTACTGGAAATCCAGGGGTGAAACAAATTCCATCAGACCCAACACAAGTGTCTGAAGTAGAAGAACTGTTTTTTGGAGATCGGGATACTCGTGTTGGGAATATGATTTCCACAATTCACAATTCGAGCATGGTTGATGTTCAAAGGAGACATGGAAAAGTAAAGAAGCCTATTTGTATTTCTGAGTATAATATGTTCATGAAGGGAGCTGACAGAGCTGATCAATACTTGGCCTATTATTCTCTTCCTAGGAAAACAATAAAGTGGACAAAGAAAGTTGCCTTGTGGCTTATAAACTGTGCCATTTTCAATTCATTTTTGGTTTACAAAAATCTAAACCCTGATTCAAAATTAAAATACAAAGCAATTCTGATGAATGTGGCAAAGGCTTGGGCTACAGACCAGATGGTGGCGGCAGAACGAGTCAGACACAGACTTAGTGCGACCAGGCCCATCAACTCCCACCCCACGCAGGCCTCATGTGGACCCCCCTTGGGCAACTCTCAGGTGATATGCTGAAACGTACCCTCGTGAAAATTGTGAAGAGTGAACATACCAAGGGGAAGCATCCTTCTAGGTAATGCTGTGTTTGCGCAGTTCATAGAAAAAGGAGTATGACTGCCTACATTTGCAGGTTCTGTGTAATGCCACTTCACAAAGGGGAATGTTTCCAGAAATATCACACCCTCAAGCACTTCTAGGAGCACTGGTAAGTGTTCTCCAAAAACTTTAGTTCATAAAATTAATTAGGAGATTTTATATTAATTTTTAAAGTGAACAGTGCACAAGTTACGGTACTGAGTTTAAAAATGCCGGTCCCCAGGGTGATTTAAATATTTAAATTGCCGCTCCTCAATGTGTTAAGATGCGAGTAGTTGTCTTGCTTTACAATTAAAAGAAAACAAGATTGTCAGTCTGTGTTCTGGTTTTTAGATGCTTATTTTAGATATACACAATCTTTATATCACTGTATACTAGTCTTTATTTCAATTTATTATATAATTAATGTATGTTATACAAAACTCATTAATGACATTGTGTTCTAACTATTGAATTTTTAATTAATAGACTTGTATAAAACTGTACAAATTGTATAAGGTTTGCCATTACTTTTACTGCTAAAATTAACTTATTTATTATATTGTGTATGTTTATCAGTATTTTATACAAATGTGTATGCTATTGGCTGACAACTGTAATCCTTAGTTGTGACTGTAACTAGGACGATCTCCACATGCGCATGAGAATGTACTCTCAACAGGATTTAAGGAAGGTGAATAAGTGAAATAAAATGAAATATGGTAACCATCATACGCTTTCAGTCTCTGTCCACCAAATGTCACTTTTAAGCTGGCACTCATTGTAACCTAAAACAATCACCCATATCCAATGGTAATTATAAGGTAGTATACAAATTAAAAAGTATAAAGTTGGGGTGGCCTCCACTGGCATAATATTTATATCAGGTTTTGTGAACATCAGTCGGGTTTCTTCCACAGTCAAAAGATGAACAAATACATACACAGGTAACAGTCTCATTTATAAGACAGTAGGCTGAAAACATTCTGCATCAATACAAAATTCTTCTGACGAACTCTGCACAAGCACTTTCCTGCTGGATAATAATTTTACATCACCTAAACATAGTGGCAGGCAAGACAGCTCAGCCAGTATAATGATGGGCCATAGGCTGGATAGCTGACATGTTGCAGTTTGATTTCTGGTGGGACAAGAGAGTCTTCTCTTCTTCAGAGTATCCAGACCAGCTTTAGGGTCCATCCAGTCTTCCATCAAGTGGGTAATGGAAGCTTTTTCCTTGGGGTTAAAGCAGGCAGGGAATGAAGCTCTTGGCTCCATGTAGTGCCAAGGTTAAGACTGTAGATCTATACTCGTATGCCCACTCCCCCATACATCTTCATGGCATACTACTTCAATTTTACATTTTAACTTTTTCATTCATTCATCAGTGACTGTACAGCCCTTCATTAGGCCCTGGCCTCTTCTTTAGTTTCATAATATCTTTTATACAGATGGCAGGACTCCTTGGACAAGTGACCAGCCCATAGCAAAGCCACTACCTCCACACAGGAAAAAACAAACAAAATAAACACACACAGACATCCATGCCTTGAGTAGGATTCGAACCCATGATCCCAGCATTTGAGTGAGTGAAGACAGTTCATGCCTTAGACCGTATGATCACGGTGATCAGCTTACATTTTAACTTTACCTTACCTAAATATAGCATTAATAACAAGATTTACAGATCCAGATGTCTGTGTAGGAAAGGAGGCTTTATGAGTTCTGTGATAAATTCATTTTTATTAGTGTCTGCTGAAGTCTCCTTTCTTGTCAATCTAACATATTTCTAGCAGAAGCAACGTAAAGAGTAAAATATTACAACTGAAGGTCATATCCTTGAAAAAATTGAAGACATTTCACAGCTACGCTATCAATTGTGCTATTTTTAGCCTGAAATTATAAAAGACCAAGATCCCACCTCATTTTGTTTCTTACCTCTAAGAGATTCTCTGTGAATCCTCCTAAACCATTCTCTTCATCTTCACTGACAGTTGGGCAAATCCAGATAAATCCATTATTACCAAGAATCATACTTGCTCCACAAGGCAAATTGTGGAAATGTGTTTTGCGACGTTTCACCAAAGAAGGGAATACTTTCACTAGAACACCTTGGCACAGCTGGAAGAAAATATGGGGAACTCAGAAAAACAGTTATTGTAAAAGACATTAAATGTACACAGATGCATATTAACCAAAGGAAATGTATATTGTAGCATGTAGACCCATTGCTAAGTAATGAATGTGTACACAATGGCTGCTGCTAGGTAATGTCTACAAATAGTAACACAGGAATGGTGTTCTGTGGTCCAAGCGACAGCCACATAATACAACAACAGAAGAACTGCTGGGAGAGGGGTTTTTCAATGCGGTCCATGGCAAGTTTACATAAGGAGTCAACTGTGCGTTGTGAGCGAGTTCAGCAGTTGAGTTAGTGCAATTCAGTGAAGTGGAGAAAGTTCATTGGTGAGTGAGTGAGTGAGTTAGAGGACTGCTGCAGTTCAGTCCTGGTAGCTGAGGCACAGGGATAGATCAGGAACCCAGAGGAAGGGGAATGACTGGTGAAGACACAGCAGGCTGAGAAGACTTAGTGCATGCTGTAGTCAACTGCACAGAGTGAATTAGCAATAGTGCTATAATTACTTATAGTTATTATATGTAAATGTTCAATAAATCCAATTACCAATCCAAACCCCATCTATAGTCCCCATATAAAATCATGACAGTATCTTGTACTTAAGTTTCTCATGGTGGTGACTATTACAAGTACAGTCTTCTGGGTTATAACCTGATGTTTCAGATGAGCAGACTGCCTCACTCTTCATGGTTGAAGAGTATGCCAAGGAATAAACCAGCACAACTGTGTGTACTCTTTGACCCTGAAGATGGAGGCAATATGTTCATCTGAAACATAAGACTCTCTCCAAACTACACAGCATTACAGTCCAAATGACCACACTCTTAAAACATATCTGCTGAAAGGAAACTCATTCTAGAAAATCTTTTTTTATCTCTGCTTTATATTGGACGCATATTGGATTGTACTAGTGCCACAACAGAGAAACTTTTCTACCCGGAACCCATCAACATTATTAAAAAATCCATCTATATAAGATTTATGAGTTGATTTAAAATACTGTGGGATATGAAAATGTTATACTGCCCTTTCCAGGAATATTTTACTGTTTTTATTGATCTTGGAAGTAACAACCTGTCTCGACAAATAAACACGTTGTCTCAAAGAAAAAGATAACAACCTGTTTAAATGATTTAATTACAAAACAGAATTAAAAATCACCTTGCCATACTTCAGACTTCTTGTATAAAGGGACAAGGAGCCATCATCATATATTTTCTGTACCTCAGCACTGATCAAGTCACCTTCTTGTAGATACTTCCTCATCATCTGCTCATCCTCTGTGCCTCTCCTTCGCTGCAAATGCCACAAAATAGATAAATAATACTAAATTAATCCACGAACTGCTGCTACTACAGTACATCCAACCATATATTATTCACCAGTTCTCCTCCTGGTAAGTTGACAGATGATAAGAGTAATACAGAATCCAGCCTTGAATTGGTATCTACTTTCCATCGTTTCTGTTGAACTTCTGTAATTCTACCCACAACCACATCACCAATTTCACCATTGTAGCGGTTCTTTATGGGTCGCACTGAAATAAGTTTGTTGACTTGCTCAACGACTCCTGCTACTGAAGCAGTAAGCGCATCTTCTTCCATGTAGGTTCCATGTCCTCTTAAATGATAAAACAAAATTATTCATAATCAGTTTCACTAATAACAGACTTTTAGTCTACATTGTAACAGGTTAAATGGACATGAGACTTGGGATATGGAATGTAAGAAGTCTGTAGAGGGCAGATTCACTCAGGACAGTGGCAGGAGAAATCTTAAAATATGAATTAGACTTAGTGGGAGTACAGGTTTGATGGGACGGAGGTGGCACTGAACCAGCAGGCAAATATACATTTTTCTATGAAAAAGGGGATTAGTACAAGAGGAGATTGAACTCAGGTAATGCTTGCTCCCATTCAGTCCAGAACCTTCTGTTTTCTCGTCTGCTGTCTAAAACATAAAACTTATAGTATATAAAACAATAGTTTTGCCTGTGGTTCTGTATGGGTGTGAAACTTGGTCTCTTGACATTAAGGGAGGAACATAGACTGAGGATGGTTGGGAACAGGGTGCTGAGGAGACTATTTAGACCAAAGACAGATGAAGTGATAGCATACTGGAGAAAACTCCATAATAAAGAGCTTCATAACTTGTACTCTTCACCAAATATAATTAGAATGATCAAGTCAAGGAGGGTGAGATGGGCAGGGCATGTAGCATGAATTGAGGGAGAAGAGGAACACACATAGGATATTGGTAGGGAAGCCAGAAAGAAAGAGACTTCTAGGGAGACCAAGATGTATATGGGTGGACAATATTAAAATGGATCTTAGAGAGCTAGGATGGGGTGATAGACTGAATTGATCTGGCTCAGGATAGAGACCAATGGATGGCTTTTGTGAACATGGTAAAGTACCTTCATGTTGCATAAAATGCTGGGAAGTTCTTGAGTAGCTGTACAACTGGCGGCTTCTCAAAAAGGGCTCAGTTCCATGAAGTTCGTTAGTCACCGCAACAGGTTGCTTTGTAAAACTATTTTGATCTATAGGAGTACAATCTTTTTAAGTTAAAATTCCATGAATTTCAAAGACAGACCAAATATTTCAGAGGAACATATCACTTCTATCTTCAGGACCAAAGAGTAAGCCATGAAGAGAAACCAGCAGAAGCTGGAAGCAAGGTCAACAGAGTCCAGCAACTCACCACTATCATCGCATCTGATATGCAAGAGTTCTTTAGTGTCAGTGTAAAGAAGTGCACTGTTTTGTTTCTTTCAGAGATCATGGTAAGTATAGTTACTATGCTTATTCTAATGCTTACCAACAATCTTGATGTACCATGTACAAAGTGAGGTAGCCCAGAGTTAACATGAAACTAGAGTAATACCCACTGAAACTCAATGAGTTATTTAATGATACTTTTTTCAGTACCATGTCTATAACATGTCACAATATCTGAGAATACAAAGTGAAGTCTACTGTATGTTATATACACTTCTGTTCTATTAACTTCACCTGTTTTTCCTTATATTCCTTCCAGTCATACATTTTATTGAATGATGCATCAATATCAATGTTTAATATTATCTCCAATGAATAACATTAACAAATAGTCCCCTTCACAGAGTATACCACACATATTCACATAAGAAAATTTCCATACTCACAGAAAAGACACAATGCACTGGAATAAAGACAGCTCATGCATTTGTGATCAATTGCATAAATCATATTTATAAAAAAAAAAGTTTGTGTTCAACAGTTTGTTGCTGTAGTAACCCAAAATTGCATAATTTCAAACATTTAAATCTCACCACTGAATTACTTTTTCTAAATATTTAGAAGAATATGCAGCTAATGAATAATTAAGATTTATGTATAAGAATTAATTGTGACTGCCAGTTGATTAAACTTATATTTTATAGTGTGACAGAATTGTGAGCATGAATGTGAAATATGCTTACATTCATTTGTTTTTACTACCCTGTAACTCTCCAATACAGAGTTTTCCCTAAGCAGTTGGTACACATTCACAGTTCTAAAAATCCTGAGGATTTGTCACAAAACCTGCTACATGAGTGTGAGGCATGGTGAGGTCAGCCAGCCCATACTCAAGTTTCCAGAGCATCGGAGTGCTCAAGACTTCAGAAACATAAAGAAAAGTGAGCAGTATAATTTTCTGGGATATAAAACACTACTTCATTCTGGTTTCTTGTTTGGCTTATTCTTTGAATCTGGTGATGGACATGACATGTTCCTCCAAAACATCAGTTAATTTCCAATGTGCTACATGGTTCCTAGGAGATAGGGCTCTTCATAACTGCTGCTGTGAGTACCTCAAAACTTATGTAGATTTCACATAGTTTGCCAAAAATTGGGTATTTTTCTGCTCCCCTGACATGTGCGCATTGCATACCCTCCTAATTTAATCGCTGTAACTATATAAGCAAATGAAAAACTATGTATTTTTCTGTGTTCCAATGTCAGTTCTATATTAGCTAAAAACTACTTGAGATGATAGTGTATTGGAATATTACAATTAGAGTAGTTTGGCACACAGGTACCAAAATTCTGGAACAGCCTGCTGCAAGTTCATCCAAAATCTTGATGCCTCTCTAGCAAATTACATGCTGTCATAACCCAAAACACCATACTGCTGACATTCAACACAGTGATTACATAAAAACTCACATTTTCAGTACTTCATTTTCTAGCACTTATAATCCCTGCTCCTCCCTCAGAATAAGATATCAAAATTTAAAACCACATCAAGCAGTAAATATAATTTTGGCTCCATTATTTAAATCTGTGTGAGTTCAGAAGGAAGGCAATTATGGCTCTGAATTGAAATATGGCATATTGTTTTTAACTAAAGATTCTTCTAAAGGCATGTTGCTGGTAATTTCAAGGTCGAGTCACATAATGTACATGCAGGTGGGCGAATTTTACTTCGAAGCTTGCAGATAAATCTTTTTTTCTCTTTCTTTCTTTTCCTCCTTTTCTAGCTATCCTGAATATATGTTCCTGAAGTAGAATCTAAAGGTTTCTGACGATGGTGGATGACACACAGAATTACTGAGGCTTTGGACTTCTTTCATCGTCGGGAATTTTAGGTAATCACTGGTGATTGAGATTAGCTCTTTCTAAGTGGCCCAACTGAGTAGGTGTCTTCCTTTCTCATCTGAAGAAGGAAACAGATCCAGTTTCCGAAACGACGTGCCCTCTATTACCTAAAATTCCGGACGATGGAAAAGGTCCCAAACCCCAGTAATTCTATGTGTTCCTAAATTTCCAAATTACTTCAGAAAACTCCAAAAAGACTAATTTCATTGGAGAATGACTATCATTAGCTCATCGAGGGACAACCACAGAGGCGCTTACAATCAAAACACAAAACTATAACCAAACATACGAGCATTAACCCACCTCATAAAGCCAGATCTACATGTTATTATTTCGCCTGGAGTATAAAGCCGAGGAACTTCAGAAGTACCAACAATAGTGTTATCAATCCTCTGACTTGCTAAACGTATATGCACATTCTGTGTCATCGTAAGAAGACAATTGTAACCATTTGAAAAAAATTTAAATAACACAAATCAACAAGAAGAATTTCTCCTGTGAAGGATAGATATATCGAATTATTAGATATAGTAGCTCGCCATTCGAATATTGCAACCTATCGATTAATAGTACGTATAAAATGTTGCGAGTGATTTGCAAAGAAGCGGGAATGTATTCGCTGTATTCATTTGGAAAACCGTGAAAATGATACGATCAGGCACCTAAAATGTACCTGTGAATATTACGTAATTTTCAAGCTAAGTTTTATTCTTTTTCATGTCTATTTTCACTGTCTCTGTAGCATCGTAATATAATGTGCTCTTATACATTTGCACGCTGCCAACTTTAAATAGGCACACAGTTTTTTTACCGTCACTGTGAATGGTTTTGGTGTGTATATTGTTACCGTCGTGAATTATAAGGGAAAATAGAGGGGCGGATAGAAGTGACCAGAAGACGAGGAAGAAGACGTAAGAAGATGCTGGATGACCTTGGGGACAGAAGAGGATATTTTCATTTGAAGGAGAAAGGTCTAGATCGCATCAAGTGGAGGAACTGTTTTGGGAGAGACTGTGGACCTGTCGTCTTGACAGATTACAGATGAATGAATGTGAATTACAATTAGTGATGGGCAGTGCCGAAGCGCCTCTCTGGTCTAGTGGTCAGAGCTGGTCTGTTTTTGTATCGAGCAGTATACAGTGTATAGACGGTATTGTATTGTATTGTATTGTATTGTATTTTCACCCGTTTTGCTACATAGTAACATTTGGACACGTCATTCAGTAATATAAGTTAACAAAATAAATCTACATAGTTACAAGCATACTACGAACTATACTGATTGATTAATTGATTGATTTATCCAGGAGTACAACTTAACGAACAAACCTACAAAGTTACAAGGATACTAACAACATTTTACAATTTTAAGCAATATTTAGATACTACATTTGAAAAAGAAAAAAGAAAAAATACACAAATTATTGTATACAACTTATGATTTGCTATGACATCCAAATATGAGTACTTTCACCATCCATCTTTTTATTTAAAACTAACGAATTCATTTATCGTGTAAAAGGAATGTTTCAATAAAAAGGATTTTAAGTCTCTTTTAAAAACTGAAAAACCCACTGAGTTTTTTATTTTGTCAGGCAACTTACTATGAAATTCTATCCCCATATTTACCACACTCTTTTTAAATAATGTAGTTCTACAGAACTGAACATGAAAATCCTTGTGTATTCTTGTATTATAACTATGAATATTTATATTCTGGATCAAATTTGCTTTGTGCTTTTTTATGTAACACAACACCTCGAAGATATACAACGAAGTAACCGTAAGGATGCCATAATCTTTAAACATTTGCCTGCATGACTCTCGTTTACCAAGTCCACTAATTATTCGCAGCACCCTCTTCTGCATTCTAAATACCTTTATACTATCACCTTCACACCCCCAAAATATTATGCCATATCTCAATAATGATTGAAACTTTGCAAAATAAATGCTTCTTAACATATTTGGACTCAAAACTCCTCTTAGTGATTTAATTATGTAGGATGTTTTACTAAGTTTTGAACATAATGACTGGATGTGGGTACTCCATTTAAGGTTTTCTGTAATATCTATACCTAAAAATCTCAGTTCTGATGAATAAGCAATTTCCAAGTTGTTATAAAATATCCGTGGTCTAACTACAAACCTACCTTTACTAAGCTGGAATGACATACCAACTGTTTTTTTAATATTTATTAAGAGGTTATTTTCCTTGAAACCACGTTTCAAGCTGTTTCATGATCTTGTTTATTTTCTGTTGCGCTATGCCTTCCTCTTTATCAATAACAAGCACATTAATATCGTCTGCAGACAATACCATTTCTCCACCATGTACATTTAGCGCGAGATCATTTATGTACAGAAGAAACAGTAGTGGTCCCAGAATTGACCCCTGTGGTACCCCATGTATTGTTTCCCTTAAAGGTGATATAAATTTATTTTGGGTCTCTTTATTCAGGTAATTTGTTTCAACAAATTGTACTCGGTGGGATAAGTAAGATTTAAACCATAAATTAGTGACCCCCCTGATCCCATAATAGTTTCATTTATCTAGTAGTATACTGTGGTTTATCACATCATATGCTTTTGTCACGTCAAAAAATATTCCTATAACATGAAATCGTCTATCCATTGCCTCCTGTATACTCTCAATGAAGGTCTGGGAAGCTGTTTCTGTCGATTTGTTTTTTCTAAATCCATTTTGCACTTCTGTTAATATTGCATATTTTGTTACAAAGGAAATCAACCTGTTATACACCAGTTTTTCTAATATTTTAGAGAAAACAGGCAGAACTGCTATTGGCCTGTAATTAGAAACTTCATGTCTTTCTCCTTTTTTATACAGCGGTCTTACTTTAGCTATTTTCATCTTATCTGGAAACACCCCTGATTTTAAAGAGGTGTGGGACTGTTGTCAATACTCAAATAGACAAAACACAAAACTGTACGATTGTATATATTGAATCGTTTAAAGTCAGTATACAGAACACAGAATACACGTATAATATTAAAGCGTTGGCTGGCCTGTCTGGGCGGTGATGCAGAGCTGAGCGTGCCGGTAGGATCGACGGACTCGGCCGGTTGCTGGGTTGCGGAGATGCGTTCGCTGAAGGTCCGCGGCAGCTATGTCAGTTGCCCGGAAGCAGAAGTGGAGTTGATGCCTCTGATTGCGTTGCCGTTTCGAGTTGAACTGATTGCACAGAGTCAAGAGTCAGAGTCACATTGCAACTGACGGTCAGTCAGTCTGTCTGTCTTAGTGTCGAGCCCCACCTGGAGCTCATGACCAGATATTTCTTTTGAATGAAAGTTACTGTCCTGTCCATGTGTAGCGCCCTCTCTGACGAGAGTTCGGTTCTGTCATTTGTTAGTCAGTCTGTATTAATAAGTCCATTGTCTGTATGTACACATATTTACAATACACACTTAATTCTTATTTAAATGTACAATATATACACGGTCTCTGTCAGTCCAGGCTAGGTACAGCAGATTATGCCCTTTATATATATATTTCCTAGTAGTATTAGTTACCACGGCAGTCTAGTCACTTGAACGGTCGTATGCCTGACCGCCGCCAAGTTTAAGCCTCTTATACTTTCTGTGTCGGGCTTCGCCTTGTCCGATGTTGCGAACATTCTCATTATCATGATTTTGTATGACTTCTGCTTGTTGCCTGCATAATTTTGTTATGTAATCATATACGTACGGGATTTTGAATGCCATGTGCAAATCGCGGACCGGTGTGCGCCTTGGAAAATTGCCAATCGTGCGGAGAACCTTGTTTTGCAGGCGCTGCAATTTCACTAGATGAGTGTCTGCCGCAAACTCCCAGGCGGGACTAGCATAAGTCATTACGGATCTAATAAGAGCTTTATGGAGGGTCAGTTTAATGTTAGCGCTCAATCGCTCACTTTTGAATAGGGAATACACTCTAATGAATGTTCTGAAGGCCTTGGCTTCGATCATTTCTATGTGTAATCTCCAAGTCACTCTCTTATCGAAGATTACACCTAGATATTTTGCACTATTTACAAATGGAATATTTCTTCCATTTAGAGTAAGAAAAGACTCAGGCGGTCGACGACCACGAGAGAAGTAGACCCCCCGAGTCTTATCTTCATTAATTTTTATATTCCAGCGCTCACACCAGGTCTCCATTGAGCTGAGACCGTGCTGGAGTTTTCTAACAATAAAACCCTCTTTGCGATCTGTCGCATATAGACAGGTATCGTCCGCAAAAAGGGCCAAATGAATACCATGTGTTTGGGGGGCATCGTTTATATACATGTTGAAAAGGGTGGGGGAAAGAACTGAACCTGGTGGCACCCCTGCTTGCATTTCCCTTGGCGTTGACATTTCGTCTTCAACAGAGACCCTGAATTTACGTTTAGATAGAAAGGACCCAATAAGCTTGGTCAAAGGGTTCGGGAATTCCAATTTTGATAATTTAATTTGTTTCATTCTGGTCCGTCACAATAACAATTACAATGACAAATCACTCCGTCCAATGTGACTTGTAAGTTTTTTACTACATAAA